TTCGTGATATCCTTTATGTTGCAAAGCGGTCACACATACTAGCCAGCAGACATCTCCTGGGTTCTGTGATCAAACAACACCACAAGAAGCTCATTAAAACATTGATCCATGACACAAATACGGGTTTAAAAAATGCTAAATTGAGTGGATGCTCCTTATAGAAATGTACCTGTAAGTTTTAAAGTATTAAAGTTTTCCATTTTTAAGCAACTGTTCATCTTTTGTAGCGAGGCTTTAATGAAGCTATATTAATGCTACTACTGCCTTCGGTTCTCAATAAAGAAAATGAATGGCACATCCAGAACTAGGAGCATATAAAGTGGTTTCTCCCAGTAAGGAAACCTAATTTGAAGAAAAATGAAATTAAACTCGTTAATCTCAAAATTATCTCCAGTGCAATTACCTTAGACTGGAACATATCAGTCATCCTGTGACTGCACTGGCTGCTGTGTTTCCAACCAGTTCGAAGGAAATCTCCAGCTCAGTGGTTGTAATTGCTGCCAGTATGGTGCCCATTTCCACTATGCCGCTGCTGTTGAAGTTAATTAGCTGTGTCTGCTTTTCCATGATAATCTTACCAGAGGTCATCATCACAAAATTCAGAACAGTTTGCTAAAAGATTTTTGCAAAACCAAGTGTGCAAAGTATGTCTTACTAGGCAGCAACCACAGCCTAACATAACTCGGATAAATAGAGCTTTTTCTTTTTTTTTTCCCCCTGAGTCAGTGGATTACTCTTCTGTATCCCGTGATGTTGGAGGGCTCTGTGCTTGCAGTACAGGAGTTACAGTGAAAACCACTTTAAACCAATCAAAGCAGAACATCCAGATATCTCTGTCATCCTTTAAAGTAGTGAAAATATGCAGTTTAACTTTAAAAAAAGCAAAAACATTCATCTACAGCATTATTAAAACTTAAGTCCTGTTGTTATATTTTCATTTCTAAACTTTTCTTCAGCTGTTTTTACTACTGTGAACTTTTATTTATTTGTCTGTTTGTATTTGATTGTAATATTCACGACTGGTACTTTTCACTAATTTTTTTTTTTCTTTATCTATTTGCATCCAAAGACTTTTTGTTTTGCTCATTTTCTTCACTGCGGTATTTTGCGGTATTTTGTTCTCTTTTTCATGTGTTGTCTAATTCAGTGTTGTTTTCCACTACACCACATGTTGTTCCAATATCTGAGGGTGATGACTCTTGCCTTCAAAATAGAAGGCGTCAATTACAACACTAAGGCAGCAGACATTGTCATTAGAGTAATTTTCATGTCTACACAATGTCTTCCAGTGTTGCCCTGCTTTCGGACCGACGCACAGGGATCATTTGTAACAGTAGAATCGGCATATCTTTTTCTACATCACCTCCTCACGTCAAGAAATCGGGGAATCTTTCCAATGTTTGTAGATGTAGAGCACCAGTTGTAGTGTTTGCGGTCGATATCGTAGCTGTTACCTGTATATTCCAGTGAACGCAGTGCGTGTTGGCTTGGTGAGACACAGCAGTTTGTGAATGGGTTGAACGTTGTTTGCACTCATTAAAAGGACCTGAAGACGAACTAGTGGTAGAGGCCAAATAAACACTCGTCACATTATCCAGAAGTCATATTTTCGAGTTCTTAGATAAGAGTCTCTGCTCACACATGCTGATATTTGGACAGTATTTGTTTTAGGATTGTGTGATTGTGTGTGTGTGTGTGTGTGCACATGTGTCTGTGACATCAATCACAGTCATTGTACATTTAGTGTTTACTGTAGTCTCTCTGTGGCTGACATCTTAAAGACTTAAAGATTTGGAGGTTTTTGGGTTTTTTAAACTAACTACAGGCAGTTTCTTCGGTTCGTTGGTACCTTTTTACGTGTGTTTGTGTGTAAGGGAGGTTACATCAATGTCAGGTGTTGTAAAATAAGAATCGGTTTGTTCTCATGACGTGCAGTGGCCAGTTGTAATCAGTTTGCTGTTGTTCATCAGATGAAGACCATAGCAGCAATATTTTGTACAGTTTAGCTTTTACGTTAATTGCCTTATTAGGAAATTTTACATATAGGTCTGTTGTTTATATTTTTTTTCCACTTGTGCTGTAATATTTATTTTTCTTTCTCATAGTTGTGCTCCTGAGAATGTGTACATAAAACTATAAATACATATATAAAGATATACAAATATATTTTCCATTTGAATCGGGAAAATATTATTTTTGTTTGGTTTCATTTTTGCTGCTGGGCAAGAAATGATTGCAATCTACATGATTTTACTGTACCATATTCTTCAGTGTGTTTATTGAGATGCAGCTGCTGTATATTTATGGTTTGCAAACCACGGCTGTGTCTTTGTATGATATCCAAAACCGAAAGATTTGTGGGGTTTAATGTACATGCAGATCAATAGGGATTCTTCCAACTGTTCAGCTGTGTTGTGTGTGTTTTCAAATCCCTGTGTGCCCTCATCCAATAGGAAGAGTCCTTTACAGAGACATAGCATGATATCAAAATGAATATGCATATCAGAAATGTGTATTTATGTATATCTGTGTAAATTCATCTATTTATACATGAGGATAAATAGATGACTGTGTGTGCGTGTGTTTGGACTCAATCAGAATGAAAACGAAATAAAGCAGTTCTATGAATTGTTGTCCATGGAGATGATGTGTTTTAGTTCTTTGTTGGGTGGTTTTTCTTCTTTTGGCGGCTCTGTTTGACTACATTGGATCATCTGCCTCCATGTCACCATAACCATAGCATCCACCTCTGTAACACCAACCC